GGGGGGTGTGGGTACGTGTCTTGGGGATCGATTTTGACACAGAGTCCTTCCAGTATCCTGGTTACGTGAAGACAATTAGCACCTACACCGAGGAAGTGACCTGCTCTGCTTTATCATTAACGACAAATAGCCTTCTGCTGAGAAGTCATTATATCTAGCCACATAGCCACAACTCTGTGTGGGGCCTACATTGTACAAATTCATCATATTTTCGCATATATATATATATATATATATATATATTATTATTATTCTCATTATTATATATGTTCCCCCTTCCGGTTTATCCCTGCCTCTTTCCCTGTTTACTCTAACCATACTATCATTGTTTTATTCATTCCCTCCCAGGTAAAAGTTGTGCTGTACAAGGACGGAGTGCAGCAGCACTACATCATATTCAACGGCTCCTCCACCAACATGACCGGCTGGTTTTCTCCACACGGGATCCTCAGCACTACCTGGAATAACCCCCAGGATGCGGATTTCTTCTCTCTGGAAGGCACTGAGATCTATCTAGGCTACATACGTCGGTTCCAGATGTACGGTCCTCACGACGGCTGTCCCACTGACTATGGCTGGATGGTGGTGGTGGACGCTCCAATGGATGATTGTTCCCAATATCTTTCCGTGACCCCGACCTGGCCACGGTTTATGTATTCTGTAGATGCAGGCCCTGTCACGTGGTCGGTGGCGGGCAGTGCAGTGGGCTACGCAGACATTCTTGCTGTGTTTGTGAAATTTTCGTGAACTCATCATCAAAGAGTGCCAGGTCTAAAACAGACATTGGAGGTCCATTTATTCTCCTTACACTTATTTGTTCGGATGTTTAAAAAAAACAACAACTATATTTGAATTTCTCTTCAACTAGCAGAACTCTAAAATGCTGCCAACTGCTCACATCAATGCAGACATTTTAGCGGTAGGCAGAATAGACGAAAATATTATCATTATAATCTTGTCTTCACTGCTTCCACCCTAGCCCTGAAATTCAAGTGAATCAAACATACTGGAAAATGAAAAACTGAGTAAGTTAATATTCTATTGAGAGGAAAATAATGTGAGAAAATAACAGTTTACGAATTAATACATTAGGAGGTATTCTCAAAAGACTATTGCCAAAGCCGTGTTAAATATCGCAACAGAATACTTTTTACCTCAGGAAATGGACAATAATAGGTATTGGCCAAATGTCACAAATTACTTAAGAAACGCCAGTCGCGTAGAAAAAGGCAGATACTACGGTCTCAATGTCCCATGGAGCTTTATCTTTCATAGAAGATGTTCTGCGTCAGTTTTGTGTCATATGCACGTTGTCATTAAATTGAGTGGTCACAAAGGTGAGTTTAATCGTTCATATTATTTTTGAACGGCTATTTTGGAGTTCTTCGTGCTGGCCAGACGTCTGAAAATCCCACTGTTTAAAAAAAACAGCTTATGCTTTTCACCACTCACTGCATTCACTAGTTCTGCAATTTTTGTGGGAAAACTAGCAGAGCAAGCCAATGCAGACGTGTCAACTGTGTTCCATAGCGTTACGAAAGAGACCCGCTTTTAATGGTAGAGTTTAAGAGGATCCACGTTACCGTATTCGCAGGACATGAACAGCTTTTTGGCAAACAACACAGTCAGAAATATAGAGCTGATCAGAAGGACTGACAACAAGAAGAAATGGGGAACCATAATAATCAATCTCCATACCTGACATCCGGGGAAGAAGAAGAAGAAGAAGCAGAAGAAGAAGAAGAACAAAAAGAAGAAGCAGAAGAAGAAGGAGAAGAAGAAGAAGGAGGAGGAGGAGGAGAAGAAGAAGAAGAAGAAGAAGA